CGTGGTATATGGGGGTCTTATTACCCAAAGCCATATTCCATCTACTTAAGGGGAACTATAAACCCCAAAAAAAACTAAACTTGTGAAGAACTCCTATATCTCTTTGCTGACACAACTGACACCACAGGCCTGATGTAGGACTTCTCAGATGCTGCTGCGGAATAGCCCAGGGGTGCCTTTTCGGAGCTTCAAAGGGTTAATTTAATTATCATAATATGGTTTATAGGGTCTAGAGCTTAGGATTTAGGATTTAAGTTACCATAATGTGGGTATATAGGTTGTGGGGTTTAGGGGGATTACTTTAGTGGACAGAAACGCAAATACAAAATGAAATGGAAAGTACTGTTGAAGCTAGAGCTTGCGGTCTAGGGATTTGTGCTGTTTGCTCAGGATGTTCGTTCGGTCCCTTCTCTACTCCGCATCCTAGTCACTAGCGGGTACATGGGGTAAGAGAAAAAGAAGGTTAAAGCTTGTAGGGTATATGGTAGTTTCCCAAAATAGGGGGACCCCAATATAGACCCCGAAGTACTATAATCTCATTACTATAGGGACCCAGAAGGTACCCTTAGTTGTGGGAAACCCCATATGTAGGGCACCCTATTGACCACAGCCGTGCTTCATTCAGATCCCCACACCCCCTCGAAGAAGAGCCGGGCGTTTAAGGTTTAGTGTTTAGGGGTGTAGGGTTTGGGGTTTAGGGTCTTATGAAAAGACCAAAAGGTGCCAGAACGTGGCAGGCGATAGGAGAAGGACTTCGGCAGCCCTCACAATCTTTGCAATGCAAGTGCACTGAACCCAACTCCCCACATGAAGCTCAAACCCTACAGCTTCAATTTCGTCCGCCCTGAAGCTCAAGTCTATACCAGATCTTGAAAGCCTACATCCTGAACCCCTGCATTACTACTGTTGCTAGTACCAGAATTAAAAAGAAAACTATAAATCCAGTTAATGTTGGATCTCGATTACTGTGGGGTTCCCTACTTGTGCGAAGTTTCGCCGAAATTATTCAGCACCCCCCAGTTTGTTTGGGGTCCCTTAGTTGTGCGAAGTTGCCCGGCCAAATAAATAATTCTGAGAATAAGTAAGTAGAATAAATCAACCTAATTTGTTTTGAAAAGCATGGTGGGTAGTAAGTAATTAGTTCAGGGTCCTCATCCAAGCTGCCTTTGTTACTTAGACTAGAACCCCTTGTCCAGAGCTTCCAGAACCTCAAACCTCCGGATTTTGAGGACCTCAAAACTCCGGATTCTAAGGCTCCAGGCCAGGTCCCAAACGATCGATTTCTTATGAGTCCGCTTATCCAAGGAAGCCTACCCATCATTTTTCCTAAGTGGTAGTCCAGCAGCTGGCCGGATCCTCAAGTTTTGGGGCTCCGCAATTATCCGTCAAATCCGCGACCGCCAAAAATGGCAGAAGCCTAGAACTTTTTCATTTTAAAGGCTTAGCATTTGAAAGCCAAGCTTCCAAGAGCTCAAATTTCCGGCTTTTGAAACCTCAGACCTCCGGATTCTAAGGCTCCAGGCCAGGTCCAAAACGATCGATTTCTTATGAGTCCGCTTATCCAAGCAGGCCTACCAATCATTTTTCCTAAGGGGTAGGTAGTCCAGCA